TTATAAATAAAAAAATGTATTTGCTTTATCTTTATAATTTATTAACATGCATACTTAAATAAAGTTTCATTTTGATGCAATATCGCACATAAATATCGCTTCTGTTCAATGAATACACTATATACAAATGCTAAATATAGATTAAGTTAAATTAATTCCGCTACTATAATTCCTGTTGAATACTGTGCAAACGAGAGACATATTTATATTCTTCAAAATTTACCTCCATAATTTTAGAAATTCATGCGCTTTTTTTTGCGCGATTATAATGCTTCATTCATATGCGTGAATGCAGTCATATTGCTTGTTTGTCCATGTTCCTGAATCATAACGATGTTCCAATAAGATTTATAACAATCTGTTTAATAATTGTGGCTATGAATGTACAGTATATCGAAAATAAAAAATTCTCAAATGAACAGTAATTAACAAATTAGGAAATCTTGTGTAACATTGTTTGATCAAAAAAATGTGACCGACTTAACAAGTATTTTTTTGTGAGTATATCCTGTTTGTCAACAAAAGGATGAATTGTAAAATTTTATGGTTTTCTCTATCGGTCCTAGATCCTTTAAATATAGTATCAAGTTTTCTTCTCGAAATATCAAGTGATATTTAAATCTCGGACAGAATAATTTCATTTGAATTTTCAAGCATTAACAGCACAGGCAAAATTGAACTTGGCCCACCAAATGCTGGGATCTTATTCCCTCCGTGGAAGCTTGAAAGTTTGAGTTTCTTGGTATTATTAGCAATTACAGCAACATTCAGATTTGTAATAGATGCGATCACATTATTCCACTTGGGTCCAGCAAAAAGCTACATCAAAACCACATCTAGGCTGGAACAGCGGCTTGATAGCGACCATTCCTTCCATTTTCTATAAAATCTTCGATGGAACGTTGAAATTCCAAAAATTTGAACCATTACAGTGGCCGCTCACTATATTTTCATTAAAGGGATCTAATTTAGTGAGAAATCCAAAAAAATAATTTCAACCTATTTATTTAGTTAATGGGGCAGTTTTAAATGATTTTTTTAATAAAACAAAATTGTCGAATGACGGTAAAAGTCTGAAATGGCTCATAAAATTAACATCATTCCATAAAGGTAATGATTATACGTTAAATATTTAATTGATTGCGAAAAATTTACAGTTTAAGAATTTTTACGCAAAAAAAAAAAAATAGTAATTCATACGTAAAAATGATGTTAATTTTCTTCGGCGCAGAAATTTTATCCCTTTACAACCATTCCATGATCATGCTTCTTGATTTGTAAGAAAGAAATTAAATACCCAAAAGTCTTATTTAATTTTGAAGTAATAAAAATGAATTCGCCACGAAGTACCAAATATTAACTGATACAATTGACCCAAAAAATGAGTTCCTTAATCATGGAGATATTAAATCCTATTTTACTCAAAGTACCAATACAAGCAAATTACGTGCCTTTTCATTTGACTACGTGCAAAATTCGGACTAAAATCCAAATTCTACAATTTCGGCTTTCAGTTCTATAGATAAACGAATCAAAAAGTTGGTTTAAAACAACTTCTCGAATGTGATTTTTCTACCTCAACCAATGTATCCGTAACCGTTAGCGAAATTATATTAATAGATGCGATGAAAAAGTATTTTCGCCACAGATTGGCTGGTGGTTGTGGTATTCCAAAGGTTACCTTGACGGTATGTTGGAAAATTGGTTACATCTTCAAGAAAAAGCCTTAAAACTCCGTGATTTAGGATTGGAACTTGATTTTGGTTGGATAGATTAGAACCAGTAGTCGCTCAATATGTTGCAACTTATTAAGGAGATGTTGACGAAAACTTTTGGAGCATGGCTGTTTCCCAGGTTCCTTACGTTAGTTTCATAGAGTCTCGCTGGGATGGATGGATATCAGCTTTGTTTCCATATAATTCCTCAAAATGTAAATTAACGGATAATTCTATTTTTCCTACCCATATACCTTCTGGATTGTTGAATGTTCCATTTGAATTGGATATGGGGAAGCGTTTCAGATTGAGCATCGTTGCGGGTTTTTTTGGTGCTAGACAGGAAAAGATTGACGAAGTACATGTTGTTTCACCTGTAATTTGCTGGTATGTTGTTTGATGCTTAAAAATTAAGTGACATTTCTTATAATATATAAAAGATACTTCAACGAGTGGTTGCCTTTATGTAATTATTTTATTGATTAAGATAAAAAGAACATATCGTTCACATGCAACGGTGTGTTTTACGACATGAATTCAAGTGTTAATTTTTTTAATATATGAAATACCAACAAATTTAAATGAAACCTGCAAAATAAGAATGTCAAAATTTAGAAAATTTTTAGATCAAGACTATATGACTTGGACGCATTTTTCTTTCAATAAAATTTTTAGCCCGCGTTTCTAACCGAAGGATGATCTCATTTTTGTCAAGAATTAATATAAATAAATATATATATTAGCTGCAATAATGCATTAATTAAATTTTTTATAATAATTCTCGAAATTAACGGAAAAATAATAAGACACTACTTTCGTGCTTATAAAATGTTCAAAGCAAATAGTCGATCCCCTCATTTAAGCGATTCCAAATCAGTTGTACTATTTACTCTTTCCTTGGTAAAAAAAAAAAAAATGGTCATCTTTACAAATGATGAAATATTTGAAATATTAGCTTTTTGTTGTACTTTACATTCGGGTCTATTTGCCTTTGATGATATAAAAACCACAAAGAAGTTAATTCTTTGTTAGGCAAATTAACCTTCGATTGCATTTCTTATTCATAGATGATTTTTTTAATTATGATCAACTACCAAAATATATAATTAAAAAACTGGGCTAAGGCCCAGGGAAAATAATATGTTGTTAGAGCTTACTACCGTGATCTGGTGAAGTTAGACGATATCTCAAAAACAGAAACCCTATTGCACTAGACACCACAAATTTGGCATCAACATCGGTGACAAGCTATGTCGCAAAGTAATACACGTGTGAAGAGCTAAGCCAAGTTGGAATCTCAGCCTATAGTCATAACTGTTTGAATATATGCCGTGGTTAGCAATCCTTTAAAACTGTGAGTATTATCAAAAGCATTAAGAAAATATTACCTTTATCCAATTTGGCGCACAAAATATTTTTTGTAGCGGACGCCTGCTATAGTTCGATTAAATTAGTTTAGAACTTTATTGATGATTTCGTCGAGGAAAATGTTATGATTTAGGTTTAGCTCTTCAAATAGCAATTGACCAATTATACCAATGAAGGTTGCGAGATAAACGTCGAAATTAGTATAGATTCATTTATTTTCTATATCCGTCACATTTCAGTTTACATTTGAAACCATGTACATATCATTAAACTTTGTGCATAATCGAATATCGTGGGATTCAGAGATCGTATTTTTACTTTTGAATATCGTACTATTTGAATTTCGAACTGAATAGAATTATCGCCTGTTGTTTTGAAATTGAAACTATTTGTTAATTCCTATCATAATGCTCCAAAGCTAAACTGATTTTCACAGAAATTTAGGATCCTTATAAGGGATAAACCACGTAATCCTTTGGTATAGAAACCGGATCCTCGCAGGCGCGAATACCAAAAATCCGCTAATTTGATTCCCTTGATGAATTAAAAAAAGTATTAATTATATATTAATAAACTTAAGTAATAAGATAATTCAAGGTCTCGATATATAATTTAAGAATGATACAGAAATTGCGATATCTGTGCAAATTTCAATTGTCTTTAATTGTCTTTCCCATTCACACTTGAAGGTTTTAGCATTATCTCATAAATATTTTCCTAGGATTCAAGCGAATAATTTTATTTTCTAAAGAATTTAAGTGAAAAATATGAAACTAATTACTTTTAAAATAAATTCAATGCATAATCTAATTTACCTTCAAATTTCGTGACTCCACAAATTCCAATGAAATTTGGATGACAATCCACTATTTACATTTAACGAATCTAATCTAAATAACAATATCTAAACTTTATACAAAAAACAAACTCGTTTATGATGATTTCTTCGGTATAATCAACAATGAACTTTTTAACTGCAAATTTTGTTTAAGTAACTTTCAAGCAAGCAGCATAAATGCTTAGAATGTATCGTAAAGTTTTGAAAGTCGAAATCACGAACGTCACAATTGGTGCAACGTATATTGTCATAGTGTAAGTGTGTCTCATATTATTTTTCAATTTTGTTTAAAAAGTTATATTTCTGACTTTTCATGGGATAAAAAAGTTGTGGATCAATAAGTCTTTATTTTGGAAAGATCCCAAACTTTATTTTGATTAAAGTGTGTAGTCAAATACTAGTAAATTCTAATTTTGATGAAAAGTTTAACAACATAAATTAAACATGGGATTGTAAGCTATTAAAAAGTCAAACCGGGAAGTATTTTTATACCAATTTACGCAGGGCGACGCGCTATGCGTAGTCATGAAAGGATAATATTTTAGTGATAAATAATTTACTAAAAGAAAAAAAGGGGAAAAATTTTTTTTTTTGTTTCCTAATGATATCATCAGAGATTAGTCAGTCAGATTAGCTCATATGTATTAGAAAAAGGTTTAGGATTCGGGATTCCTAATTCTTTTGCCTGATTATGATCTCTAATGATTTACCAATTAGGAAACGATAAAATAAATTGTCGTGTAACCAAGAAACTTCAACTGAAGTTGCGTTCACAAAGATTTCACATGCATGCCATGACGCTTTATTTAATTCGGAGAATAAATTTTGGAAAAAAGAATGTCTAAGGATTGTGTTCGTGTAATTATGATACGATGAATTTATGATCCTTATAATCTTTTATTGTTAAAATATCGAAATTGTTCGAACGAAGCGATTGAAATCAGAAATTAAAAAAAAAAAATAAACTCGAATAACTGCTGCGTCATCCACCCGCGTAAATAATAAACTTTGCCTATGCAAATTTAAGCGATACAACTCGAAAGGAATTACCTAAAAAAAAAAAAAAAGATCCGAGTTTTTCATATTTGATTTTCATCAACCTTTACGATAATAATAATAATTTACATTTTTTTTTTAATGGGTAGTTGAATTACGCACAGGCTACCACCCTATATTATTAAAATTTTCGATTATTACATCAATACGTATTAACATATCAATTATATTTGTGTTTCAGTGACCTAACATCATGTAAACTATAAAAAAATCGACAGAGGGTAGAAACGGTTAGACGTGAAATTAGTTCTATACGGAAAATCTCATCTAAGGAATTCAAATTTAATCACGAAATAATGGGTACATTAAAAACGCACCTCGCTGTGTCGCAAAATTTGAAGTTATGGTCTTCATAATATTTTCTCTGGTTTTAAGAATTTAATTATATTTCATATGTTATCAAGTGAAGAGCAAATTTTCGAGATCTTCGAATACAGCGGTGTATAACAAAGAAATCAAATATGTAAATAGGTATGTATGTACAACATATTTTTCTAATATATTTATTTATTTTACTTTCAGTTGTAATAATAAGTTTTGGTTGGGATTAGACTTATAATCTCTACAATAAATTCTTATACTGTACTTACAACCTTTTTCGTGTTTTCATATCAGGTGTTTCTAACTACATATTAGAATAATTGTTGTGAAGTTGTATTAAATATTTAATTTAGGACGAGACTGAGGAATATTTGAATTTGATTTATTGGTTTTAAAAAATGCCTAAACGGAATTGTTGAAAAATGAATGATCAATCCTTTTTCAAAATTGTAAAATTTCAAATCATAAATAAACATTTTGAAAATAGCAATGAATGAAATTGCTATCTTAATTTCAATATTTTAGATGTAAAATTTGAATTATTTAGAAGCTTACGGTAGTTTAAGTTTTGTACTATTATTATTTTATTCATAGGTTAAAAAAAAAAAAAAAAAAAAAAAGGTTTACTTTGTCATGATACTTTGTAATCACGTGACATTTTTTATCGATAGGTAAAGGATTTTTTAAAGGGGTTCCTTAACCTGTACCCTGGGTGTAGGCCTTTATCCTAGACCCCCCTTTTCTCAAAATATGATTGGTTTAAATC